CAAGGAGACATGCCTCTTTTACAAGGTATACGCATGGCCAAGAATCCAAAACAATCTATCGCATCTTCACGTGCCCCGTTTGGTCAATCACAATCACAGGAACGATCACTTTGAGAACCTCAACGAAAGACGAAGAACACAACTTTATCCTGAATCCAGCTCGACCACACGTCTGGAACTCTATCGAGCTTACCCTAACGGCAACAACAGTACCTAACCTTCCTATATTGTCGAAGCTACTTCCTCACTGATGGCTCAACCGTAACAAGAGGTGGAACCGTCGCCAGCTGGAATACCAATACCTAATTCAGTCGGACAACTCCAATGCACATCTGAAGAAACAGTGGAAAAATTTTCATCATGTCAGTTCTCTCCCGCTACGTGTCAGTGCAATCCACTTGTCTATGAAGCGACATGCAATTGTCCCGCAGGAAACATAAGCAAGCACTTGAACAACGCTCACCAACAACTACCACTCAGCGGAAAAGACGTAGTCATCCTTCAACGCGGAAACAGCATCCAAGCCAAAACCACAAGCGGATCCAGTACATCCATCCAAATCTCCATACATGGTCTATCCATCTTCACGAAACGCGTCAAAAACGAATGCCGCGTCGACATGGGATCTTTAACTGGATGCTACTCCTGCTTCCAAGGAGCACACGTTCAAGTATCTTGCACATCAACGCTATCCGAGGAAACGGCTGAGATACACTGCAAGAATCAAACCCAAATAGTCAAATGTTCACCTCACGGAATCATCTCCGACACAGTATTCCACTTCACGACTTCGTCACTAGACATCAATTGTTCAGTACTGTGCCCGGCCGGACAATCGACAATTCATCTCCAAGGAACGCTTGACTATGTCAATGAACCTGTGTTTCAGTTTTCATCACTGCAGCATTTGGAAACCTACCGAGCAACATCTACAGGTTTCTCTTGGAAAGATTTCACCACACCAATACTCGAATGGGTTACTTCATTTACCAAGCATATTTAAATACTGGAAAACTATAGTCATTACCTTTATCATACTATGTGTAATTTTCCAGATTCTTCGAATATTCCGCAAACGCTCATTTCAAGCCACCTTAATCAAAAAGTCACGCTAATTTCTTTTCCGGGTTGGGAGTGTAATGACTAATGCAGCTTTTACACTACATTGAAATTTCAGAGAAATGTGTCATTTTCATAATATCGCCAAGATCGACGTCTTAATCATCCTTTTCTGAGAAATTCGCGACATATTAAAGAAGAATATGAAGAAATTGTTTCGTTTATGACTCAATTCGCTCCATATAAAAGCTGGGCATGCAGATGCCCAATCGGTCATTCCAATAAAGATATAAACCGTGATCGTTCCGCAACATGGCGACCACGGCAGCGTCTCCTTTAGACCACCTACTGATCGACGCTTACGGTGCCGACATTCCAACCACCTCATCCCATTGACATAGTCAAGCGTTCCTTGGAGATGAATTGTCGATTGCCGGCCGCAACAGTACTGAACAATTGATGTCTAGTGACGAAGTCGCGAAGTGGAATACTGTGTCGGAGATGATTCCGTGAGGTGAACATTTGACTATTTGGGTTTGATTCTTGCAGTGTATCTCAGCCGTTTCCTCGGATAGCGTTGATGTGCAAGATACTTGAACGTGTGCTCCTTGGAAGCAGGAGTAGCATCCAGTTAAAGATCCCATGTCGACGCGGCATTCGTTTTTGACGCGTTTCGTGAAGATGGATAGACCATGTATGGAGATTTGGATGGATGTACTGGATCCGCTTGTGGTTTTGGCTTGGATGCTGTTTCCGCGTTGAAGGATGACTACGTCTTTTCCGCTGAGTGGTAGTTGTTGGTGAGCGTTGTTCAAGTGCTTGCTTATGTTTCCTGCGGGGCAATTGCATGTCGCTTCATAGACAAGTGGATTGCACTGACACGTAGCGGGAGAGAACTGACATGATGAAAATTTTTCCACCAGATGCCCTCTCTCCGATTGCATTGGAGTTGTCCGACTGAATAAGTAACTGTAATTTCCCAGCTGGCGGGTTCCACCGCTTGTTACGGTGAGCCATCAGTGAGGAAGTATGCTTTGACACATATAGGAAGGTTAGGTACTGTTGTTGCCGTTAGGGTAAGCTCGATAGAGTTCCAGACGTGTGGTCGAGCTGGATTCAAGATAAAGTTGTGTTCTTCGTCTTTCGTTGAGGTTCTCAAAGTGATCGTTCCTGTGATTGTGATTGACCAAACGGGGCACGTGAAGATGCGATAGATTGTTTTGGATTTTGGCCATGCGTATACCTTGTAAAAGAGGCATGTCTCCTTACACCAAAACAAAAATCACACCATAAGCATTTTGCAAGAGGGTGAGCAGTAGGTGTAGCCAGGATTGTTCTTCGCGTAGTGGCTAAACTCGTATATGTTGGTCGAGGTAGTGATGCCTCTGCAGGTCTCTCCGGTGCAGCTTTGAGTGTTCCAGCATTGATGGTGGGATTCGGTGTAAAATTTGTGATCTCTGGTGTAATATTCCGTCCGTTCTTGACAAGAGTAGGCGATGTCGTGGATTCGTAATGAGATGACTCCTGCGGGTTCGTTTTTGTAGTTGCGCAGTAGCAAACATACATCTTGTCCGACGTGCTGCATTTGTAGAGTTACTGCTTCATCAAATTCACATTGTTCGTTTGTCGAGTTGACTTTGCAATGTTGGACTGTGCCGCTGATGCTGACGACATCCGAGCAGGCGTTGCTAGGGCAGACGAGGTGGAGTACAAGTGTCATGATGGGAGTTTTCCTGATCAGCCGTTGAGATACTGTCCGCTTGTATGACGGGAAGTGCGGAATGACGTATTTGTCATGCCGTGTTCGACATGGATTGATTTCCCCGGTGAGCCTTTGTAGCAGCCGGAAGAGTTTCTTCAACAACCACCAGAAGCATTTTAGTGCAGGAGAAATGAGGCGGCAGGCGATTAGGGACAGGAATGAGACTGTTGCTGTGATGACGATTTCGGTTGTGGTCCAACAGTGGAGATTGAAGACGTTTTCCCAGCAGAAGAAGCATTCGATTAGGTCGCAAATGGGTTTTCCTTCACAGGTAAGATCGTTTACGAAGATCTGTTCCCCGTCTTTCCAGGCA